TGTCAGTGACTTCAAAGTTTTAGCTTCCAGTTCCGGTGTTTCTGATTTGCGCATTTTAGAATCATTGTATATTTTTAAACAGAGGCCATGTTTGAATTTAGCTTTTAGCTCTTACCCGCTTGAAATTATAAATAGGTAGGTTATGCAGCTTAGGTTTTTTTCGTTTCACTGATTTATCTGTGTTCTAGAATTTTCGAACTGACGATAAAGCTGGACGATGAAACGTTTTCTTTAGAGATACTATGAATTTTCGTGTAGTTTTCTTTGCTTTTATGTTTTTAGGTTTAGGTCTTATTAAGGTTTAGTTCTAATTAGGGTTTAGGTCCTATTAAGGTTTAGGTCTAATTAAGGTTTAGGTCAAATTAAGGTTTTGGTCAAATCAAGGTTTAAGTCTAATTAAGGCTTATGTCTAGTTAAGGTTTAGGTCTAATTGAGGTTTAGGTCTAAATGAGGTTCAGGTCTAATTGAGGTTTATGTCTAATTAAGGTTAAAGTCTAATTTCGGTTTATGTCTAACTATGGTGTAGGTCTATTTAAGTTCAAAATGCAAATGTGTAAAAATATGAGATTACTAAATACAATGTCGCCGAAAAAACAAGCTTCATCGCTGCAAAATAAATGAGTTATTTTAGTAGCCAGTTGCCAGTTTACTAATTTAAAGTTGTTGCAGTATTTATTGCTCTGAATGCTTGTTTTCGCACCACATGTCTTAAGAATGCGTGGCTGAGTATACAAAAGTGATTAAAATTTCCCGGAGTAACTCTATCACTCGTTTCTACGAGCTACACAAGGCACTACATTCAGCTTTACTTTCCTCCGACATGAGTGTTAATGTAACATTTCATTAGATCTGATACCAGAACTGAATCCCTAATATGAGCAAAAAAACATTCCAACATTACGCCGTAAATTATAGAACATCGTGTACTCAATACCAATTCTCAAAGTACATATACTCCAAATACAACTATATTATCACATCCGCCAGAATACAGCAGTGAAATAAATCGCTCGTCGTACGTCAGGAAAATATTCTGCATTTGGTCATATCTGCTCCAAGGAAACGATTATTGGGCTCTAGTCTAATGCCTAGTCAATGCAAGGATGTTAAGTTTATTAAGTTTTGCTTTATGTCAATGTAAGTCCTGATAAAAATAATGACGAATTTATATGTAAACATTTCTCAACTTCCATTGTTGAGCAAAATTACCACACACTCTCGCCCCAGTAAACATGGTATACGAGATTCTCGGCATAAGTAATAAAGATAAGCTTTGGCTTATTTTTATATAAGCATGGCCTTTGTTTATAAGCCGTGCGAAATAAGCTTTACAAAACTCACGGTGCGTCAACTAGACAAAACGCTAGAGATTGGATTTTGAAATTACATTTTTCATCGAGGTCATTTTTCTGCGTGATTTTTTTTTCATATCGACCAACATATATGAAACAAAATTTATTAAAAAGAACAAATGGAGACAGAGCATGGCATGGATCTTCTCTTGGAGGTGTTTCATATGAAATAATGAATAAGGAAATTCAGTATAATGAATTTGTAGACAATTTTGTGAACAAAGTTTTATTTTTTCTGACATTAAATAATAAAAATTCTAGCCGGCTCCCGGGCACGGTGATTTCTGTGACGGAATCCTGTAATCCCGAACACCGTCATACCCGTACTCCGTAATAATGAAGTAAACCCTTTAATAATAATGCTTATGTATGCCTATTAAATAAAAGACCCTTCAATCACACATTTACAAGATGATAATATTCTCGTTTCACTTTCGTTTCAAATATGGAAAATCTATTTTGTGTTGCAAATCAAGTTTACATTTCAAATAAGTCCGCCTGTAACGAATAAGCAGAATCGGCAGCCAAAAGCTGTCGAGTCTGCCCGCTCATCAATTAGAATAGATTTATCTTGTTCATTCTTCGTCTGCATGTTCGGTAAGAATTATTTTGTTTCATAACGTCATATATTATTGACATATATCGTTATTTGTCTCAAAAGTCTCATATTTGGTGGGAAAAAATGTTCAAATTCCGGCACAAAATCACAGTCCCGATTCAACGTTTTCTATCGGAACAAATTTCACTTTAATCTCGTTAGTTTCAACGATTCATAAACGCTGTGGTCTGATTATGAGCTCTACTCGACGAAAATCCTCCAAGTTTGGATGTTATGTCGCGATGATCTGAGGGGCTGCACTTCGCCGATCTATAGAGGCTGTGCCTCACTGACCTAGAGGGGCTGTGCCTCTCAGACCTAGAAGGACCGGGCCTTGTATTTGGCACAGCCCGAGGCACAACCCCTCGAGGGGTTGCGCCTCGCAGATCTACAGGGGCCGTGCCTCGCAGAGCTAGATGAGCTGCACCTCGCAGATCTAGAGGGGCCGTGCCTCGCAGATCTAGATGAGCTGCACATCGGTGATCTAGAGGGGCTGCGCCTCGCCAGAGGGGCTGCGCCTCACGCCAAATCTGCGTAATATGCTTAAAAAGAGCAGCTGGTCAAGCTTCGTCATGATGCCCCTGGTCAAACGCTGATGACGCTATCGCACGATGGGGCTGGTCAGAGTCTGAACAAGGAAACCCACGAACAATCGAAGTTCCCGCCATACGGGGGTATGTGGGTATGTGCATGGGGGTCTACCTCCCGCACCCCCCATCCGGACAGAGCACAGCAAAGGCGCCAGTTTAGATCGAACCGTGACTCGACCAGTACCTAGTGAAGAGTGCTCATTGCTCANCTGTTCGCAGTCATCTAGAATTATCAAATCTCCTCCTGTTGACCCGCACGCGGTGCGTGCATCGGTAAAGTTGTAACTTGTTGGCAGAAGGTGAACGCACTGCGTGCCCACCAGGTCGTATGGAACGGCGCACAAACCTGCAGGTAACGTAAAGTTGGGTGGACGTCAAACAATTTAAAAATATTATAAAATGATCGCCTAAAATCGTGTTCATAAATAGAACTATATTTTTAAGCGTTCTAGAAAGTTTTCACTATAAGTTTCATCAAAATAAGATAAATATGTCGAGTGAATAATTTCTATTGAATTGCATTATTATCATTTTTAGCCCAGGTTTGGAACTAGCATCAAAATTCATTCATAACCTGAAACGGTAAGCCGTTTCAGGTTATCCATTTGTTTTATGTCATGGAAACACTTCTAAAAAGGCTCTCACCATCCGTTGAAGATCTTGAACACACTGGGTAAATATCCCGGTCTGGAAGTGTGCAAGATACTTCATTAAATAGCCAGCCCCTAGCGGGTTGAATCAATGCGCAATCTTCACCCGTTCCAGTTGCATAATTGTCGGGCTGTGTCCTCCCATCAGCTGGCGCGTTCTGGAAAAACACCGCGCTGATCCCATAATCAAATCCTACAGGTACATAAATACTGAATTTATGAAGAAATTTGTAGCGAATTTGATGCTAACTAAAGTCACAGTAGTTATTTTGAGAGTATTTATGAGGACAAATCCGTTCTTGATTCCGCAACATAAATACCATAAGAGACTTATATGTTTAGCGGCCTTCGAAAAGAACATCGCATAAACATGAAAATTCAAATAGAGATAGTAACAGGTGAATTTGCGGAATTTTACAGCATTCCTATCATGTTACTTTGCAAGCTTTCAAAGTTTGATGTTTCTTGATGTCTTGTCCATTTTTCATATATTAGTTGGTATCTCACAATCCAGATTTCATTGTATTCGTGACACACATCAAGTCACTCAAAAAAGCCCAGAGGTTGCATGTTTGAAACCAGCAAATCTCAATACTGTTTTCACTTTCATATACTTCCTGTGCGCAAGTATGCTACTTAGTAGATTATCAGTTGAACTTAAGTGATTGGAGCCATAGGCACACTAAGCCAGCAGCCACTACTCCAGCATGTAGTCTTCAGGGCATCTACCCTCCAGCGTGCGTCTTCCCCCACACTTGTCCCGACTCTCCACCTAAGCCCTACCGGACCTAACCTAACTTCATTGGCTGAGTCAAGATGGAGAAGCGGGGTAAGTGTAGAGGTGGGCGCATGCTAAGGGGTAGATACCGTAAAGACTATACTGACTGGGGCAGTGGCTGCAGGCACATAGCGCCCTGAGGTTTCAAGCCGTCGCGGAACTGGCATGGCTTGCGGTGTTTCTAGTGTGATCTACGACTTAGTAGCTCTGGGGCTGACTTTATTATTAGAGCAAGTTTATACAGAGCGTTTATTAGAAAGCTTGCTAATGAGTTAAATTTGTAGCCGATGGCTGCGCACCGAAGCCCAGTACGGAGCGCCCATCTGCACGGCGGTGCCGTCGTTCCACTGCCAGACGCCGGTAGCCGACGAGTTGGTGGCGCCCAGCCAGTAGCCGTTGATGGCGTCCGCTGAGACTAGCAGAACAAACACATCGGTAAACAGGAGATGCTATAAAATTCAGACTCGAGCACTGATTGTGTATAATGGTAAGTGTTCAGAGTAAGTAGTAGTAAAATAGTGTTATTAATACCTTTTGTGGAACCATATCACAACGTCGATGGCCACTGTTACAACAGTCTGTAGGGTCTGAAGACTTGCGTTTCTAGTGAAGCTCTAAAATGTGGCTAGAAAATGCCTAATTAAAGTATAATTGGCGAATTGGATTTGTTTGCGGTATCTTCTATACCAGATAAATAACTTGGTTCAATGGAATATCAATGCATCTAATTAAATACAGGAATTTCATTGATTCTATACAACTCACATCCATCGTCGACATAAGTGGCAACATCAGTGAAGGAAGCGCAGTCGTGCAGCACGGGCAGCCTGCCGAAGTTCTGGTGGCAGTAAGCCACCGCGTCGTCGTGCGTGAGGTTACCACCAGGATGGCGGTGGATGCACTTGGACCCAACGACCTCGTAGCCAGCGGGGCACTCGATTGCCGCTGCGCCTGTCGTATTCAACCAGAAAATTTACCTCACAATAGATTTCTAATTTTTAACGAAATTTTTCATAAGTAACGAAAATTCTTCAAAGAAAATAAATCATTTGATTTGATAGACGTTATAATGGCTTAGACATGGACATACAAAATTTGGTCGAGATTTTCTATATAAGCTGAAGAAAATGTTGTTCTTCCATATATGAAACTTCGTTAAGTTGAAGAATTTAACTTGGACGTATCCCAGCATATATAAATTCTCACGAGCACGTGCAGATGTCAAAAGAAGCTATGTACTCGCAAAACTATAACCAGTTTTGCAACTCGCCTGCAAATGATTAATTAGGAAATATTAACCTAAGTACCAAACTATTATTGGCTAAAATTTCTCGCTTGTTCATGCCATTTCTTTCTGTATTATCATATTTGCTGCAAATATGAATCAGAAGTGAAGTCAATGATACTGAATCTTCTTTTCCCTGCTACGTTATAGTTGAGCCAAATAAAGTATGTGCCGGTATTCATTTAGTTGCAATAACTAACCGAAACAATAGAAAAATGCCACCAGAAATTGTCAAGTAAACGTCCAGTTAACGCCACACCAACTGGAAATATACAACGGTGAAGAAAAAATTAAAAGATATGCTCATATTACAGGGGAGTACGACCCAGGGTGCGTAATATTAGTACTACATGGAGGCCCTCATTATAGGTATGCGTGATACTGATTACCTATGAAGACGATACTCACCTGCGACAACTAACAACAGACAGACGACGAAGATGTTACAAACCTGCGACAAGAACAGACGACGAATTTAATACTCACCTGCGACGAACAGAAGCAGGCAGAAAACTTTCTTGAGACTCATAATTATGGGTTTGTAATTCCGGTAACCTGCGAGTATGTTCTACCCAAATGTCCGGCTTGTGAAGAAATTCTTTTTCTTTACAGACGTGGAGAAAAACGCGTTCTTTTGAGACAGTCTCGAGTGCACTGAGCATGAGCCTGATAACAGCTGTATTTATGGCGCATTTATAGCCGTATATAATGTTTTCTTTGTACTGCATGTCAATAGGTAATCACGTGATAAGAGTTATTCCATCAGATTAAATTTCTCCGGACATATTCATACCGTGTGAAGTTGTAGCCTATCCCACAGCTGCTGTTGATAACCCCGCTCATCGCTGTATGAGGTACATATGCACAATTTATATTTAAACATAGAAAACAGAACATCATATAAGGCTCTTCTCTGTATATTAAATTAAAAATTTTCCAACTAACCTACCATTAGTAAATTTATAAAGTCGATGTTAAGGAAGCCGTGTGAGATGTACACGGGAGTTTTATTAATATCATATTAACCTGTTGCTTGAGAGTTTGAATGACTTTTTTAGCCATCGTGCTATTCTTCCAGATGATAGCGCCATGCGTGTTTTTGGGTATACCGTTTTGACAGATAAAATACCTTTTTAAAATAAATAATGTATTTGATTGAAAGGCCATACTTTACTCCACGCACTTTACTCCACATTTCCATTAATATTGAGTAATTTATCGTATCTTTGGACCAGGTTTTGTATGCCTTCGTCGAATAAGCTTGCCGCCTGGTTAGAGGAACTGAATAGACAATTGCGTAGCGAACACTTTAGTTGAGACATAATTAAACTTTTCAGCTAAGGAAGAAATCCTGGATCGTCTGTCCTTTTCTACTCTACTGTCCACTTTTTGAATCGAATCATCGGTAAAGACTGACGGTCTCCCACTTCGTTTATCATCATGAATGTTTGTGCGGCCATCTTTGAAGGCATTACCTTAACCAAAACCTGCACCATTACATTAGTCCTAGTCTTTTCACCATACATTTCTGATTTGACGATGAATGTCAACTGACTTAACGTCTTGTATACAGAGAAACTCACGCACTTCTCAGTCGACGGGATTCGCAGGTGAAGGCATTTTGAACACATAAACAGATGTAGACTCCATCGGATGGTTCCGTAATGGCGTCTGTGGCTTCCCAACAGATGTAACTACACGGCGCACATGCGACAAACGGCAGCGCAGCTCTGCATGGCGGCTCAATTTAAAATGATGCTTACTCTAAAAATGCTGCAAGCCACACATCGCCACGACTGCCACTTAAGGTAACTGCACCAGCCGAATGTCGCCAAATCTGCCAATTTTCTTATTAATAATAAAATAATATTAATATTTATTTACTCTTATTAATAATATTCTCATTAATAATAATAATAATAATAAATAATAATAATCACATTAATTTCACCATATTATTCGTTAAACTTTATTACATACTACACACTAATTACATATTACTGATTACACCTTACTCAATCATCGCTCACACAACAAGAGAATTTCTTAGTCAATAAATCTCCTCAATTTCGGCCACAACGTTTTTCGTCCAGATCGGTGCTGACCTGATTTGTTTGTCTATTACGTCGCATTGTATGAAAACCGTTGTATAAAAAGCATCTTTCTACAAATAAGGTAAACTAATATTGTGGCATTTTTCTGTAGGAAAGAACTAGAGGATGAATGAATGAAATCAACTCAAAATAAATGTTTTACTTTTTTTAACCTGTAAAACGAAAATTTCTAACTAAGATTTATTTTCGTTATTGTAATTTTATGATAATAACGTAAATATATAATCTCATGATTCGTAACACATTTCTTATTCTAAAAATAACTATATTTAGAAACATGTCGAACAATAAATTAAAAAAAATCAACGCCAAGTCGAATATCGTTCAGCGTTCGGATTCTTTGCCGTGCAAGCAGGATCTTTGTTGGCCACATTAATTGCATGCAATAATTCTCAATAGGGGTTTACTCACTAATTACGAGTAACCTTTTTTATTAGTCTCGCATCCGGTTTATACTAAGCCCATGCTGGCCTTCCCTCGGCTTAGTTGGTCTATAGTCCCATAAGGAGATCGATTATATTATCTCAGCTGCAAGATAGACCTCATCTATATTGTCTGTGCCTCGCACATCACACGTCGCGTCTCGGAGCACAGCGTGTTGGAGAGCCTGTACCGCCACGCAGAACTGAGCACAGGCAATTCTCCACACCAGGCTTTTCGGGTTCTGAAGATCCTTCACCATACTGAAGATAAAACAGGGGATAAATATACAGAAAATTTCACTTCTTCATAAATATAATATAACTAGCTAAATATAATATGAATACATATAATTTGCCCTATGAACTACCCAATATCGATGTTTCAAACAGATGATCTTGTGTCCATAAAAACAGCCCAATCCATTCAGATGATCCTGTGTCCAAATAAATAAAAAAAGCCCAATTCATACGGATTGGGCTGTTTTCCAAACGGATACAAAGTAATGAGGCCTTCATTAATTCATCATTGTTATTGATTATTATTTCCAATTCCAATGGTCAGATTCAGCTTTTCGTTGCCGTTTACAATTAAATTAAAACATACTTTGTAATAAGACCAATCTCCTTGATTTATAAGTTAAACATGGAAAAATTCTGGAAGCAAAAGCGTAATTAGGTACCTACCCACAAATGAAGATTTATTAGGTAAAAGGAAGATTTAAGGACAATTTTTTGCTAAACTTCACTGGATTCATTTCACTATAGATTTCTGTTGTCTTATTATTGATGGAAACGTTGGTCAGTTGCATTCGATAGAACTAATTTATTCTTAATCAAGTCAAGTTCGAATCCGTAACTGGTTCATACAATCTTACAAATATGACGTAGTAAAATGTAAGAACTTGATGAATACTCATATTAATATTAAACAAATTAGTTGGAGTTTTTGATAAAAGAATTTGCTTGTGAACCCAGTAACATTATAATAAGCTACCAATCATGAAGAGAACGCAGAGACATGCACAAAAATATATACAACTTATAATTAATAAAAAATAACATTGAAGATCGAAGAGAAAGAAATCATTTATATCCTTTTTTGCATCTGTTCAATTGAATGCAGTGTTTCACTTCACGATTAATCCATCAACAATTTTCACTAAAAATAAAGATACGATTGATGTTGTATCGTAAATAAAAAAAATTACATTTTGTGCCCAAACTTCAAAAAAGATCCAACTTTCGGTCACTATCTCAATCATGATTGGATCTTACGAGTATAAGCCAATTTAGATACATAAAAAAATATTTCCTGATCTAAGAAAAAAATAATAAATACAAAACCTCTCGTTCATTAAACATAACGATCGCATTAAAAAAGGGAATTTAGCATGCATTTTTATTCGAAATTTTGCTCTTAACTGATCGTATGCCCATCTTTGTGAGGAAAATACTTCTCATTTCCTTGAAGATTGAGAATGAGGATGATAATGAAATGATACTTACTTGCAGCCAGCAACAACAGGCAGATGATATTCAGGAGAATCATTATTTTAACTCAACAAACAGCGTGACCTGAGAGTGAGTTCAGCCAGCCCGCCGGGCTTGTCAGGAAATTATCTTTCTGTCCAAGTGTACAAAACAAATGAGCGTTCCGTAGAGACGGTCGCTAGGGGAGGACACGGAGGGCGAGCCTGATCACAAATTTTTTACATGGCACGTTTTGTAGTCTTTTGAAACCGTAAATTAATTGATTTATGTGTATGCCACAAGCTAATGACAGAACAAGCATTTTCCCATTCTATAAAGTTTCTACAAAAGGAGTCAATATTGTCCACAATTTGTGGCTGTCGCACAGCTGCATGCGATAGCTGAGAGGTGATATCGCTGAGAGGTGGAGCACGTGAACTCGAAACATGAAATAAACGAGATATTGCCTCTGCTTCTTATTCTTACCGCAAAAAAATGAGTAAAAATACTGTGAGGAATTTATCACAATCAATGCTAAGGAAGTTGAGCAAAAATATTTGGAAAGCAGTTAAAATTTTGGATTACCTTCTTGCTTTAGGATTTGAAAGATTTCGTGCGGCTTTACTTTATTAGTTCAATACGAATAATGTGAAGTAAAAAGATTTATTCTAAAAAGCACAACGAGGAAGAACAAGAAAATTAACCATTGTATTGAGAATAGTTGATCAGTATTATGATACTTGATAGCCCCGTAGCTGCGTGCGTCGTTATGCTACTTTCCTCTGGGCTTCGTTGCAAAGTTTTGTATAGGAACATCGGTATCTGTGGAGGTATGGATCGGATATGTACTACTGGGTTCTACTGTATTTTGTTCCGTATGTTCTGCTGCAACACAATTTGCATAGGAGTAAGTATACATATTTTTCGTTAGTATAGGACCTAATTTGGATTTCTTCTTTCTCTCTAAGATCTTATCTTGTTGAAGGCCGGTATAGAGAAGATTTTCTTGAGACTCATAATTATGGGATTGCAAGTCGCGTAAACCTGCGTTGAGTTCTACCGGACTGCCCCGCTTGCGAGGAAATTATTTTCTTTACAGATGTGAAGAAAAGCGTGTTCTTCCTGAGAAAGTCTCGGGCACACTGAGCGTGAGCCTGGTCAGTGCCTCAGTGGTCACCAGCTGTATTTTTGGCACATTTATAGCCGTATACAATGTGCACAAGCCGCTGCATGTCACAAGGCATTCACGTGATAAGAGTTATTAAATCAGGTTGTGGAATTGACGTAGTTACCATCGAAATTAATACCATTAGTAATTTCCTGGAATAGATGTTAAGGAATTCGTACGAGATGTACGCGGGCGTTTTATTGATATAATATTAACCTCGTGCATAGGAGTTTGAAAAATTTCATTAGTCATCGTGATATTCTGCCATATGATTGTACGATGCGCGTTTTTAAACTGAGTATACCGTCATGACAGAATGAAGTTTTTAAATAAATAATTAATCCCCCCTGAAATTCCATAATTTACTTTATTTCTCTACCTAAATCCTATTAATATTGAAGCCTTTGTCGTATCTTAAGACACACTTCTGCATGCCAAGTAGAAAGCGTGACTCGTCTCTTCTCTTTCACTTGACAGTCGACTTTGTGAATCAATTCATCGGTAATGACTGACGGTCTCCCACTTCGTTCCTAATCGTGATAGTAGGACTTATCCCAATCTGTGAAGGACTTATCCCAATCCTGCACCATTCCATCACTCGTAGTATTTTCACCATACATTACTGATTTGACGATGAATGTCAACTGACTTGAGGTCTAGCACACAGAGAAACGCACGCAGTTCTCAGTCTACGGGATTCACAGGTGACGGCATTTTGAAGACATAAACAGATGTAGACTCCATCACTGGGGTCTCCAAACTATGGCCCGTGGGCCACATCCGGCCCGCCACACAGTTTCATCCGGCCCGCGGCCCACCGGATGAAATCGTGAAATGAATAAATAATTATTGTACGAATGGCATCGCAGAATTATTCAAAGCTGGGGCCTTCTGACTGGTGGCGCTCAGCCCAAGTCAGTTTTCCTTTCTCTCGATAGTGTGACATACAAATACTAATACTGGTAGGTGTGTGTTGTGCATTACAACCAATGAGTTGTGTTTAACTGTATATTATGGGGATAGCGGCCGAATATGGCGTTGCTGCTTCCGTTTCAGGGAGCACAGCTCTTTCGTAATCCATTTGACTGCAATGCTGAAAATCTTCCAAGTCAATTTCAAATGGAAATTATTGATCTCCAGGCAGATGAGACTGAATAATAAGTATCGAGAAGGAAATCTGATTTGAGTTTTATAAATGCCTGCAGCCAGATCAGTTTCCAAATTTGATAAAGTTTGCTTGTAGTTTTGTGTCCATTTTTGGTTCAACATAATTGTGTGAAGAAACATTTTCCAAAATGAAGTATGTGAAATCTAACTATCAAGCAAATTTGTCTGATGATCACTTGAAAGAAATTCTTATAATTGGCGCATCTAATCTGAAACCGGATTTTAATTAAATTTTGAAGTCAAAACTACAGCATCATTCGTCACACTAATTTGGTTGAATAAAACTAAATACAGGCATCTATTTAGTTTATCCTAATTTTTTTCAAAAAGATAAGTAATTTTTCCATGTTTACACTTGTTTGAGTAAATAAAATATTTGAGTAAATAAAATTACTGGCACTGATTTTTTATTCATTCGGCCCTCATAAATATTGGAAATATAGAAAGTTTAGAGACTGTGAAAAGAGACTTCTTTTTAGAGACTGTGTTTAGAGACTTCTTTTCACTGTGTGTTTAGACCGCACTGTGAAAAGTTTAGAGACCCCTGCTCCATCAGATGGTTCCGTAATGGCGTCTGTGGCTTCCCAACAGATGTAACTATATATATACACGGCGCACATGCGACAAACGGCAGCGCAGCTCTGGCGGCTCAATTTAAAATGATGCTTACTCCAAAAATGCTGCCAGCCATACATCGCCACGACTGCCCCTTATGGTAACTGCAAAGTTGCTAGCCGAACGTCACCAAATCTGCCAATTTGCTCATTAATAATATAAGGTATTACTCACCATGTTACTCGTTACTCTTTATTACATATTAATCACTAATTACATATTACTGATTACTCAATCATCGCCCACACAGCAAGGCAATTTCTTATGCAAGAAATATCCTCAATTTCGGCCACGACTTTTTCCGTCAAGATTGTTAATTTGCCTAAAACGATTTACCTATTACATCACATTGTATAAAAACCGTTGTATTAAAAATTGTCTTCCTACAAAAGGTCAACTAATATTGTCGCATTTTTCTATAGGAAAAGACTTGAGAGCGATTGAATTGAATCATCTCACGAATAAATGTTTTAATTTTCTTTAAGCTGTAAAACGAAAAATTTTAACTAGGATTGCTTTTCATTATAGTCATTTTATGATAATAACGCTAAGAAATAATTTCATGATTTGTAACACGTTTCTTATCCGATCAACAATTATATTTGAGAACCTATCGATGATTATATTAAAAGAAATCAACGCTCGATCAATCGATCAAGCCGAATATCGTTCAGCGTTCAGATTCTTGGCCCTGCAAGCTGGATCTTTGTCGGCCACATTAATTGCATGCAATAATTCTCAATAGGGGTTTACTCACTGTTTACGAGCAACCTTCTTTCTTTAAACCACACCTTGTTTATACCTGGCCCAAGCTGGCCATTTAAAATGATCTATATGTTTGTGGATATATAGTCTCATAAGGAGTTTACTTGTATTATCTTTGCTGCAAGATAGACCTCATGTTTATAAGCTGTGCCTCGCAGATCACATGTCGCGTCTCGGAGCACAGCGTGTTGGAGAGCCTGTACCGCTACGCAGAACTGAGCTCCAGGCAGTTCTCCACTCCAGGCTTGTCGGGTTCTGAAGATCCTTCACCATACGTACTGAAGATAAAACAAGGGTAAATATACAGAAAATTTTCACTTATTCATAAATCTTATATGATCAGCTAAATATTATGTGAATACATATAATTTGCCCTATGAACTACCCAATATCGATGTTTCAAACAGATGATCTTGTGTCCAAATAAATAAAAAAGCCCAATTTGACGAACTACAACTGCAAGCTAATATAGATAGAAACTTCTGGTAGCATTTTGTAATGAAGTGCTCTACAAATTTCCCACCACTGACTATCAGACCGCAAAGATTAAGTACGCCCAGCTCTGACGTGAGCGTTAAATTGATTGTAACCGTCAGATAAGCTGCTGATCCCGACTTGCGTACAGGTTCGTCCTCTTATATGTATATGATCTTGACTCAGACGCCAGGGTGAGTTGCGTGCGATAGTATTAAGATGTGGATACTTAGTGGAATATCGTGATTTTTGTGCATATAATGGTTTGTCATGTGTAGGTATTTACTTTATGTTTCTGTTGTAGGATCGTCCATTTATTCTCAAAATTCCGTGCTTTAGCTCTCTCCTCGCAATTTAGCTCTCTCCGCGCATCCGATTTAAATTAGCTCTCTTGTTCGATTTTCAATTATTATTCATGGGATTCGTTTTGTTAACTTGTTTAATTCTCTTTCGCACCCGTTGTATTTGAGTTGCTGTAATTTTGCCGTTTACCCATAATACATTTAATTAAACTTGTTTTAAGTTGTCAATCCGTCTGGCCCAAACTATTACTAATCCAGCCAATAGGGAATAATCTTTTTTCCGGTCATTGGTGGGCGTGACAATGAAGACCATCCGAACTTTGAGGTGACGCAATTGGTAATTCGGAAAGTTAAGACTAGTTCGTCACACATTTCATTCTGGTACACTTTGTCAGTAGCAACTATTATACACAACCAGTAAAGACATTTGGAGTAGACGTACAACGTTTTTTTCTTGTCCTGCACAGCAAGTGCACATTCCATGAAAAAAAACAATATCTAACTGCGCATGATAGTATTTTAATGACTGCCTATCAAATTCGTTTCACCCGAAGTCAATGCAGGAATTCATTTATTATCCAACATTTTTAAAATGTTATTTTACATGTGAAAATTTTGGACCACAGAAAAGATAACATAATTCAATAAACTAATCCACACAGCTTTCGGTTTGTTTTGTCTGTTCGCTGTATTCTCTAGCATGTTACGAGGAGCCGACTTGATCCCTTCGGTTCAAGATCGTATCTGGATTTACTTTCCACTTCACTGACTCTTCTGAACCGATGTAGATAAGTTGTGCTTCATAAGGTTTCTTATCTTTAACTTTAGACAATAAAAGATTAGATAATTCATGAAGGCAGTAATGCATGGTAAAAATAGAAACCGGTTAAAACATTACGGCCATAATAATTTATCTTCATCTGCTTGTCAGTTTCTAAGCGCCCAAATGGGAGCCAAAGTTTCTAACCTTCAACTACGATGCTATTCTAGACGATGTTGGAGAATCCGAGTGCGAAGCGTGTTGCCGATTCAGACCTACAAAATGTGCTGACCAGCAACGCAACGGTAATAATTTGTGAAAATCTTGAGAGGACCAGGAACGTGGGGTTTATCAAGCCTGATGTCGTCAGAGATTTAGTACCACATGTAAAGCAGCAATTGGTTTTATTTGCGAAAAGTATATTCAGATTTTCGGAGTGCTCTCTAAATCAGATATTTACACAATATATTCTGAATTGACATAAATGAGAATTTTTTCGATTTGAGTTTTCATTATATTCTGTGATCGACAGCTCCTATCTGTGGCATAAAAAGAGCATTGAAAAGATGGGCCACGAGAATAGAATCTTTTAAAATAATTGCTGAATTTAGTGGAACTAATCAATGAAATCAAAGTTTAATTTATTAAATAAATAAATTAACAGATCTGATTTACTCAAGCTTACTATTATTTTTCCCTGCAAATACTTCTACCATGAAAATATGTTATCTTCAATTGTCGTTCATGATTCTTGGGCAAGTGATAAGGCATCTCCATGATCTGTTACACATTCACCGTGAATGATTCATTTAGGAATTTTCGCTGCTTCCTAAGAAGCTCAGAATCATCAAAGTTCTGCCTCATGAGCTTAAAAAGTGAATGGAAAATACACTTATATGATAACCATGCAAATTTAGACATCTATTGTCTAAATTGTCCTTGTGCCTACGATCTTATGTTGGAACAGCAATTGGAGTTCTAAAGGTGTTTCATATTTAATTTATCATAATCTTTACAACTTAATAGGTATTTGCATAACAAAATATCATCAGCTGTTGCAGATTCAGTTTTCTTGTTGCATACTTCTTAAGAAGTCACTTCATTCTTCGCCCTCCCGTCTTTAAAATAACGCAAATGGAAAGCCCCGGGTTTGCAGCCCACCAGCTTTTCTAGAAAATTGATAATTAGTTTTGCCAAAATTTGCATGTCATTATGTTTGCATTCTACGCAAAACAATCCATAAACATTCATCTCCAATTAAATGTGGAATAATGTTGTCGCGTTTTTTATGGAAAATAACAGGATGAAGAAATAGGCCGCACTATAACCAATATTCTTTATTTGTCCTCAAATTGTAAAAGTTAAAAATATTGATGGTAATTTGAATTTTCAATCATTGAAAGTTATTTAATCACGTTTTATACTCGTAATTATAATAAAATTTTTTTCAAGAGGAGAAATTTTCAGGGAAATTTGCATTTTTAGGGGTGAGACACAAAACCTTTTTGTGGTCACTTCAAACATTGAAAGTTCCGGAAGAAAGGAAGTGTAGGTCCTGAGCGACCTTCTATGGAGGAGAACACAGTCTTTAGAAGCTCGTTTGTCTTTGATAGACGAAAATCTACCTCTATATAGGCTGCAACTCTCAGATTTAGAGGAGCTGCGCCTCACAGACCTACTGAGGCTGCGCCTCGAAGACATGGAGGGGCTGTACCTCACAGGATCTAAAGGGTCTTCGCCTCGCAGACATAGAGGATGTTTGCCTCGCAGATCTAGAGCTAGGGGCTGCGCCTCGCAGATCTACTGAGGCAGCGCCTCGAAGATCTAGAGGGGCTGCGCCTCGCAGACATAGAGAGACTGCGCCTCGCAGGATCTAGAGGGTCTTCACCTCGCAGACATAGAGGATGTTTGCCTCGCAGATCTAGAGCGGCTGCGCCTCGCAGATCTAGAGCGGCTGCGCCTCGCTGATCTAGAGGGTCTGCGCCGCGCAGATCTAGAGGGGCTGCGCCTCGCAGATCACACGTCGCGTGTTGGAGCACAGCGTGTTGGAGAAGCGGTACATCCACTGGGAGCTTAGCTCCAGGCAGTTCTCTACGCCGGGATTGTCGGGCTCTGGAGTTCCTACCCCAACCTGGAGAGAGAAGTCAACAACGGGTAAAAATTCTAACAACACAGCATTTGTTTAAATCGTTTGATGTTGCTTCATTAGTGAATATTTCAAACATACAGAATGCAGTTAATTATATCATTCAATTTATAAGTTGAAACCAGCTATGATATCTTTATGATCAGTTTGTGGACTAATTCCTTTTATAGCGCTAACGTTACGCTACTAAATTATAGATAAAGGATTGAAAAAAACATTAATTGTAAAAAACCTGTGATGTCTTGGCTACTTCATATTGATATTCCACAAAAAATTAATAATTTAAAATCACGAAATCAGTCAAGGTGGTCCGCTCCTTATTCAAGAATTAATTTATAAGATAACAGAAGCTTCAATATTCATTTGAAATTCATAATCTGTGTCAAAATTCTGCACAACAATCGCAAGATACAGAAGTCCTGCGAAAACTTCATATATATTGTCCAAAACGACGTAATGAACGAATCAATAATTGTACGTTGTCAATTTGACGCCAAGTTATCACCTTTGCCGACTTCTGATACATTGACAAGGATGAAGTGCAGTGTCCCTAACCCAAGTCCGATTGGCAAGGTTAATGTGTGATGGTCCTTACCCTTAGTCGAATCGACATGGTTAGGCTGCAGTATGCCTAATCCTGGGTCCGATTGACAAGGTTTAGGTGCTGTTTTCCTAACCTTGAATGTGAGGTAAGGATGCAACCTGTCAGGCGTATCACTCTTATCGAATTATAAGATTAGAGAAACTGTTGTGAAGGCGCAATATACTTCAGACGCTGTAGACATTTATGCAATGGGAGACACAATTATTATACAACATCATGTGAGCGAAGCTGCTTACACGGTGTGGGCGGAAGCACCATGTTTATAAAAGGACGGGACACTCAAGTAGGACAGGCCCACTACAGCTGTCAAGACCGCAGTAATGTAGCGCTCACTGCAATGGGAGTGGGTCAGCCTGTCGGTCGAAGGTGACTGCTCTCCCACCTTCATTCTCGTTGCTATTCACTGATTTTGTTACTTATACCACCCAGTATCAAGTTAAATCTAGGAGAAAAAGCGTCTATGCTTATCCTTTCAAGTTGTCGGAGAATCCTGTCCTCAGCTTGATCGTCTTCTTCCTATTTTAATTGGAGTTACAGCATAATTTTGCCGAGGGATGTAACCGTTTGTTATTGCCTCCTGACTCACCAATTCCTGACTCAATCAATGAATGACGTTATTGCATTGGTTTGCACCAGTTTTGGCTGCACAAGTTTTATTTGCTTTATAATTAGAGTTATATAAAAAGAAAACATATAAATTTTCTAAATTTTATACTAAATAATGAAGCTTATTATCTCATCTCATTTCATATGATAACTGTATCTTACATTTGCCCAGTACGGAAGCCCCATCGTCATTGTAGAACCGTCAATCCAGCGCCATTGCCCTTCCAATGCCCCATCGGAGCCACCGATCCAATATCCATCAGGGCTGTAGCCTTGTGATGTGAAAAGACATCAAAACATGAAAAATGAAATTGAATCATCGCATAAAAACAACTATTAAGTTAGCTCGGTTTTGCCAGGGATCGATACATAATCCTTCCAATTTTAGACTCGTTACCCCGGCTCCCGACAGTAATGGTAAAACTAATGAACGAAAATTAACAAAGAACCTGCTAATATTCAAAATACACATTTCAAATGGAACCTCTATGCCAACATTTTACTCTAGTTACGAAATTCGTTGCACGTTTCATTTGTCTTCAAAATCCTACATACTTATGTTTTGCGAAGTTTACACGAGTGTGTTCGAAGCCTGGAGAAGCAGTATGGGCTGTTGGGGCGCGTATCCAGGATAGTTATCGTTTTGGGATATTGAATATAGGGGCTGTTGGAGGGCGTATCCAGGATACTTATCGTGTCGGGATATTGTATATAGGAGCTGTTGGGGCGCGTATCCAGGATACTTATCTTGTCGGAATATTGTATATAGGAGCTGTTGGGGCGCGTATCCAGGATACCTATCGTGTCGGGGTATTAATCAGCTATACTAAAATGTGTAAAATAATTCCAGAATGATGATTGAGGATAATAAATGCTCTGAGGGAGCCTCTTGTTTGATTTATATATAAAAAATTAATGAAACATGAATATTTGCGTGTCGATCTTGAACTTCTTTTTCTGATTTAATATTATATTAATATTTTTGAGTCGTATGCAGGTAAATGGCGGAAATGCAACCCAGCCTCATATGTAGGTTCGAGTAGTGGCGGGCTACTCTCATTAGTAGCTCATATGAATACGCATTACTCTGTCAGAATGAAATAGGTTGCAAGGACACCATCAAACTTATAAGCAAGATATGTTAAGGTTTCCTGAAATCAGATTTTGCTAGTGGTTACCTTGCTCCATGAGGTATTTGATAACCTTGCTGTACTGGTCGCAGTCATCTAGAATTATCAAATCTCCTCCTGTTGACCCACACGCGGTGCGTGCATTGATAAAGTTGTAACTTTTTAGCAGAAGGTGAACGCACTGCGTGCCCACCAGGTCGTATGGAACGGCGCACAAACCTGCAGGTAACGAAAAGTTGGTGGTATGTCAAACAAAATTAAAATCGGTTAAACTGATCGGTTAATCGTAATCATAAAACGAACTATTTTTCAAGCATTCATGAAAGTTTTCACGAAAAGTTTTCAATTTGGTGATAGTAGTCATAGTACAATGGACTTCATCAAAATTATACTGATTTGTCGAGTGAAGAAATAAAAAAGATAAAATAATGTGTAGACTTTGACTAACCAGCCAAAATAAATATTGAAACACGATTGGTATTGTTCTTTTTCTTTTTATCGAGGCATGGAACTAGCATCGAAATTCATTAATAAATATTAAACTAAAACAGCAAGCCGTTTTCGGTTATTCATTTTCATTTGTTTGATGTCAGGGAGACAAAGTTCTGAAAAGGCTCTCACCACGCGTTGAAGATCTTGAGCATACTGGGCGAAAATCGCAGCATGAAAATGTGCAAGCGAAGTCATCCAGCAGCCAGCCCCAAGTGGGACGAATCATAAGGCAGTCTTGACCCGTTCCGTAATTGTCGGGCTGTGTCCTCCCATCAGCTGGCGCGTTCTGGAAGAACACCACACCATAATCCCATAATCAAATCCTGCAGGCACGTAAATACTAATTTTATGAAGAACGTTGTAGCGAATTTGATGCTAATTAAAGTCAATGCAGTTATTTTGAAAATATTTCTGAGGACAAATTCGTTCTTGATTCCGCAACATAAATACCATAATGGACAGATATGTTTACCGGCTTACGGATAGAACATCGCATAAACATGAAAATGGAACAAGAGAAAATAACTGGTGAAATTGTGTAATTTTACAGCCTTCCTGTCATGTTACTTTGCAAGCCTTGAAAGTTTGATGTTTCTTGATGTCGTGTCCTTATTTCATATTTTATTTTGATTCACACGAACCAAATTTTATTGTATTCGTGACAAACATAAAGTCAATCACCAAAGCCCAGGGGTTGCATGTCAGAGGCAAGCATTTCCCATACCGTTATCACTGTCATATTCTTCCTGTGAGCAAGTATGCTCCTGAGTAGATTAGCATTTGAATTTAGCACGTTGACTACGATTGGTTCATCTTATACTTTTGTTTCATTTTTCTAGTACTATTATGGAACAGGGTTGCCAGACTTTCTTTTTTTACCGGACAAATTCCGCGATTTAGTTTTTTCAATTTAGGTGGTCGGCTAAAATGTATGATAGGGGTGGTAATGGGCGCTTCCTAATTAACTAAAAAAATTGAATTTTTACACCG